GCGCGCGCGATCGTACGTGATATATATTCGCGCGTCGTGAGATTATTTCATTAAAAAATTAAAACCCGATCAAAAACAAACCAACGGTTTTTGCTTGTAAAGCCGCACTCGAACAACGGCCCTTATGCAATTGCCGCTGCCACATTCCTCTTAGTTATGTGTTCCTTATGTGATTATTACACTTTTCGTGATTGCATCTTGTGGAACATGGGTCTCTCAGTGGTATCCAAGGTGCCTTTTCTCTCTCTCTCTCTCTCTCTCTCTCTCTCTCTCTCTCTCTCTCGCTCTCTCGCTTTCTCTCTCTTTCTCGCTCTTTTTCTATCTCTCTCTCTCGATCAAAGGGTTTTGAACTTCGTTTTGGACTTCATTCGCCACTTTGTCGCATTTCTTTAAATCTTTCTCTCACTCTCTTTCACTTACCATCGACTCTCATTGACAAAATTCTCTGGCACCTCGCCACCTATCTGTTGTCGGGACTTAGCCCGACAAAGAGGCCGCCCACACGTCACATCCGGGTACTCTTGTGTCAAGTCCGGGACGTGTTTTAGGCGTGCGCACTCGCGCGTGTCTCACGCAAATACGCACGCATCGTTCATCATCGGTACTGCATCCAAACGTATGCCAAAGGCCGCGAAATTTTGCTGCGTTTATACATATTACGTAGCACTACCAGCACAAACGCGTGTGCTGTTATCATCCACGAATTTTGCTCTTTTTTCTGAAATTACCGTGAAAAATCGATGTTTTCCAACGGTGCCTGAGAAGACGCGTCTCCATCTAAAAAGCAGACTTTTTTCTCTCGAGAAAAAAGCCGGAGATTTTTTAGGTGGATCGGCGTTTTCTGCATGACACGCGTAAAAATATAATGTTATCATGGAGCCGAATCATATCTTTTCAAAAATTTTTTTTTAGGCAATTTACAAAATTAATTGGCTTTACATATCCGTAGCGTGTGTAATTAAGTGTAGACAAGTGTGCTTAAAAGTGTATATAAGGAGTGTAAAAACTGTGTATTTGTACTGTGTATTATATGGGTGAACACGCGCGCACGCACGCACGCATGCACGCGTGCTCATGTATTGAGAACTGTTTGAGCGCGCGGGGTTGCACGCTCGTGGACCAGGGCAACTTCGCTTTAACTTGTGTCGTTTGGGGTACGCGCTCGTCTTGTGGGGGGTGTCCTGTTTGCGTTGGTTTCTGTCACTGTTGTTACACTGTATTTGTTTCTTGGCGAGAATACCAATTCTACCGCGGCCGCGAGCGCGTTCGCGCGCGCGTATCCGCGGATTTTTCGTTTGATTCGTGAAGGTCGAGTCGTATTTGTAAGTGTGTATGCGCTGGGAGTATGCACCAGCGCATCCGGGCTATGGCACTTTTTAGATTATTTAAACATTTAGCAAATTTACATGAAAGAGATTAAGATTATGGTAGGGCCGATTTTGCAGGCGACGTCGCGGTATATATATCTGTATATATATATATATATTTATTATTATTATTATTACCATTGTGAGCCTCTTTTCGACTACTTGCTAGTCGTGTTTCCACGAGTGGACTACGGTCGGGCGCTTATGTATTCGGGTCGTCCGTGACGCTTCGGGGCTTTCCTCTCTGGATTCTCCCGTCATTAGGCGCTTGTGAGCTTCTATCTCTTTTTGTATCTCGTTGCTGCTCACAGTCTTCCTCGTCATCTTTATGCGGCTCGCCGCATCTTTCGCGACGAAGACGAACGACCCAACCGTCTCTTTAGATTTTCCACGGTCTTTCGCGCTTTATCCGCTTCCGCCTTATGACGCGAGCACGTCTTGTGTCGCGGCTCGCGGATGCCCGTGTATGTCCCGCCGTCTCCTCTCCTACGTCGTCGTAGGGCCCGAAAATCTCACACGGGCGCGTTTGCGCCACCGGCCCCCTTACGAGTTACGGGCATATGTAAATCAATATATTTGTAAATTATTTTTTTTGTGCTTTTTTTGCGGTGTGACCCGCATTTTTTTATTATTACTTTTCTTTATCGTTATCCTCGCTTACTTCTCAGTTGATTACAGAACATACACTACTAGATCTATTGTTTAACGCGCTTGTGTGTTTTTTTTGCATTACCTTTCGTTTAAATTTAAAATTATGATACACGTTCGCGGGGCACGGGCCGGCGCCTCGGGAATTTTTCCTTCGCGAAGATGTGTTATTTCATTGCAATCGGGGGGAAGATTGGAAACCATCCCGCCGATTATTACGCTTGTCGCTTTACTAATTAAAAAAAGCAACCCTCGGCGCACGGCAGGATGCACCGGTCGAAAACAGTCGTCTGTCAATCGTTTCATGATCGTGATTATCATGAAGGATCTCGACGTGGTAGTGGTGGTAGTGTTTTGTATTGTGGTCGTTGTTGTTTTATTAATTTTTTTTGTGATGGTGATTGATGGTAACTAGTAACCGCTCTGACCTTTCCATCCTTCCATTTCTTATTTCGCTCTTTTGCGCTCTTTACTACCTGTTTCGTGCACCGTTCTTGATATCTCTCGACGCTCGATTAAGGATCGTGAAATGAAATTACGATTCACTTGAAAATCGTTAGATAATTCGCGAATTTTCAAACGAGAATTTACTTCGCGCTTCAGCCGCGCGACACGTGCTAACAGCTTCGCCTAACTAAATTCTATTCATTCGCTCCATCGTCCATTCTCAAACTCACCGATATTGACATTCCTTTTTACTTTAAACAGATTTTCAAATTTCTATCAATTTTGCATCCGCTCTCTTCCAGATTTTCTGATGTTTCTTTCATTCTTAATTTTATGCAGCACGCTCGTATCTTTCGCACCAGAAGCGCTACAAACTTTTTTTACCATACTACTTATTATATGTTTCATTATTCGCGATTTCTTTTATTAACCGAAAAACATTACGCGTTTTATCGATGGAAATTTTCTAATAAATCGATCCCTAAGATGTTGGGTGGGCGTCGAAATGTGCGACGATTGTGTTTTAGATGTTTTCCTATCGCTGTACAATCCATCGCAATGCCGTGTAGTGTAAGTGTTGGTGTGTAAGTGTATTAGTGTCGTGAAAAAAAAAATTTCCCGATCGGTGATGCCCGAGAGACAGTGAACGCTCCTGCACGCGATCCTTCCTCGGGGATGTAAAGTCCACCCTTTAGAGTGGTGGCGAGGTCAGGGCGGCGGAAGCGATCGCCAATCGTCGTGGGCACGCGCCGACAACGAACAGAAGCTCTGGTTCGATAAGAAACGATTATCGTTGGTTGCGTGAACGAGGTGTATGCACTCGTCCAGCTTTAGGTATTTACATAGAAACTAACCCTATTTCGCATTATGTATGTTCGTTTAAGTTTATCGGTAAATTCTCAGTTTATGCTTGTGATATCAAGGTGTATTTACATACTACTTAATCCGAGGAAAAAACGCCCTGTAACGCAAAAACTTTAATAATAACGATCAATGAATCGACCCGCAATCGCGATCGCTGGAACTCGAGGAACTTCACTTATTCTTCCCCCATTCGTAAAAAAAATGACAAGTTCATAAATTTTTCAAATTTTTCGAATTCACGATTTGCGAAAAAATTGATCCTGGTGATGATAGGAACGTTTTTAAGAAAAGAGCGAATTTTACAAAAATTTTTGAAAAGAATGTGCCAGACGCATCCATCGAGTTCCGATCGCGAGACGAGTGCAATCGTTAAATGTAGCTTTGACGATGAATCCTTTAGTGATCTTTTCATCTTTCGTCTCAGATGGTCAAAAAGCCTGGCTATCCGGCGACTTCTCGGCGCGTGTCTTTTACGTTCAACGAAGATGACGACGTTAGGTTATTTTCGTAATTGGCGAACAAATGGACATGAAAGATAGAAAGGAAGTATATACGTCATGAAAGGGAAGCTTTTTGTTACATAATTTCTCATAGTTTATGGAAAATATAATTTCCAAACGTAGCGAGAGAAAAGATTTTGCTAGTTATACTCGTAGACGTACTTTTTTTTGACAGAATTTAGAAAGTTCTATATTTTTGGAAAGATGAAGGGAAAACTTTTGATGAAAAATGAGGATCAAAGGGGATGATTTTCAAAAATAAGTCAAGAGTCTCGTTCAGTCTTCGATAGGAAACAACGATAACAGTAACGCGATATTAATATTCAAAAATGTGAACAAATTCAGAACGTTATCATTCAATTCCGCATTAGATATATCAATCCGCGATTGCCATTCCAATAAAGAAATTTAATCATGTCATAGACAAATGCTTATTGAATCGACTTTTCAATGCTTTAATTTTTTTTCTTTATCGCTTTTTTCAATCGCCTTTCTAAACCTCCGTTGGTTTTTACTTTCTTTTAGAAATTCTCATTTTCATGCTTCGAGAAAATTATTTCCAATGAAACGTCACAAACTTCTCTTTGTTTTTTACGGTCAGCCCTGGTGAACAAAATTCTGATATCTCATTTTTAAGAATTTGTCATATAAATTCATATAAATTTATGAAAATTTCTGAAAAAATATCTTGAATTTTTTAAGATTTTTATTTTCAGAAATTATAGAATGAGAAATTTTAAATCTGAAAATATTTCATTAAATAGAAATTCTGAAAAATTTTAAAATTTCTGAGAAATTATATTAAGAATTCTAAAAAAAATCTTCACCAGAGGAAAAGTCTCGTCTCATCTCGTCTGGTCTCGTCTCATTTCGTCTGGTCTCATCGAAAGATAACTCTATCGAAAGTACGAATGACCCAAAAGTCAAAAATTCGGAGAGATGGACAGGACGACGAAAAATTTGGTCAACTTTGGAGATTCGAATTGATGGAACTTCGTAAAAAAGGGAATTTCAAGAGGATAAGGGGTTAGTTCGGTTCGCTCCACGATCAAACCTACGGACTTTTCTTTATATTCTTCCTCTCCCTCGTCATCCTCATTTTCGTATTATTTTTTTTTTTGTTCTTTTGTTTTTGTTCATCCACCTTCTTTATTTCCTATTCGTCTTCTTATTCTTCTTCATCCTAAGTATTGCGAGAACGTAACGGTATATTGCAAGTAAAAGTTCAAAACGACGCAAGAGTTTTACGCGTTTCAGATTATATTACCCGGAAATAAAAAAATATTTCTTATAACGATCACAGGACCTCAGATTACCTGAAGCATGCCATTCTAAAATCTCACTCTCGTCTTCTCATTCGCTCCTCCTTGATGCTCACGAAGCATTCACGTTTACTCGATCAAATCATTCGCTCAACGGCGCGCCCGTGTGTCTACGTCGATCCCAAGGTCGTTCATTCGTAAAATCATTCACATATTCTTTCTCTCTCTCTTTTACTCTCTCTCTCTTTCTCGCTTTTGCACATGTCCACCTCTGCTTCTGTGCTGTCGCATTCTTACATCGACAATACTTAGAATCACGTAAAACCTACGCGGGTGCGCGCTCCGCATTCGCTCGTATTTCCCTTTCGCCTAACTATCCTAGTCTCATAGACCCTATATTCATTATTTATAATATTTATATATATAATATATATAATATTTAGCATTTAGTTTTTTATTTCTCTCTTCTTCGTCGCGTGCTTTGCTCACGAAAAATGCTCGCTCTTTCACGCTTACCGCACCTTCAGTTAAACGTGTAAGTGTGAATGGGTTTCGCCCGGTTTTTTTTGTCTCTGTCATACTCTTCATACTCTGTATGTATATATAATATATATAATATAACTGTTTGTAATAACTATATTTTGTTTGTCCGCTTATGAGCTAATAGTTTTCGTGCTACCGACGAGCACAAGTTGCGCGCATTTATATCTTTACCTTAAAAGTGTGCTGCTGATGAGTTTTGTAATATATGTATTGTACATGTGTACATATGTGTAATGTATGTGTAATGTATTTACGTGTGTATGCTCGTGTGTGTGCGTACGTATCTGTGCCGACGCGTTACGTCCGACGACGTTCCTTTCTCGTGCGCGAAATGTCAACGTCGCTTTGTCGTCGCGCGAAACGTTGATCACAAGTGAGAAAACGTCCGTACGGATTGCGTCGCGTCTGTCACACACACACGGGGAAGGGGATTTCGGTACGTATATAATTAACAACCGTACAACGCGACAATATGGCACCACTCGCCGGTGGTGAAACGTTCGTCGCGACCACGTGATGCACACGTTATGATGAGCCTGTGTACGTGGATGTTATTGGTGTGCGATTCGCTTTTTAAGCATTACGGGACCTTTTACGATTAGGGGATTTAAGGGGGTGGAACCTTTTAAGCGCGGTTCGGTGGAGTTAGACGTATCTATGTATAATATTTATATATAGTTTAGGTTTGTTGAGCCTGGCCAGCACGAGACGGTCGAGGATCGCCCGTTGGACCCTCGATACCGTCGCATACCGTTTAATCGGCTCTTGTACTAAAAGATCATAGTACCTCAGAGCGCACCCCGGATTACCCTGAAATAGGATAACCGAGATGACTTACTATTGTTGTTTTTTAAGCAACTTCTCGTTAGTTATTATGGCACGTTTCGGAAGTCGAGACGGTGGTACGGTAGTGGCGACGTGTCCTGAGAATCCTAACGGAATACGAAGACAACGTGAGAACACTATCGCGAATTCCGTTCGACAGATCCTTCATTCAGGACCGGTGTAGGAACGACGCGGAACCGCGCAGGAAGCGCGCGGGGAATCGCGAGAGACGACCGTCGCCACTGCGATTTTAACCGCCTCGTGCCGTGCAACGGTTTTGCTATACACGTACGTATTCTCACTCTCCTTCCATCGTCTGGCATGGCCCCATCCGGAGAGTTCGTCAACCGAGGATGATACCCTCGATTAATTTCCGGTTGAGGTCCGGCCTGATATCGGTTCTATCCGAGTAGGAAGACACCGAAGTACATATTCTTTCTCACAAAGTCCTTCCGTTTGTTTCTGTTTTCTTACTGCTGAGACAGTGAGTGAAATTCTGGCGACCGCACTTGGGCGCAGGAGCGAATTACGTCAACGATGACAATGACATGTCGATCGTAACGAGCGTAATCGCTCTTACGCGTTTTCGGAGTTACCGATCATTTCGTCGGCTTTTCTCTTGACGCCACGGTCTTCAGGCTGCTGCTGTTGCTGCTGCTGTTGGTGATGACCGATAGTAGACGGGCCCTGCTGTTGCTGCTGCTGCTGATCGTGCAACGGTGTCGAGCGCTCCGTCGACGATTGCGAGTGTTGCTGATTCATGCGTTCGTTCTGCTGCAGGGTCGTCTGATCCGGCGCCCAAGGGGTCCACTCGTCTCAGTAGTAACTGAATTTTCATGGTTGCTGATTGCTTTGCTGGTTGACGACGTGTTGAGCCAGAGTGAAACTCAGGGCGCGCGGATCGCCGCCATGAAGCCTGAGGGCCTGCTCTAATCGCTGTTCCTGTAGTCGTAGCGCTTCTCCTGAAAGATGTCAAGTGTCGACGATTTGTTAGAAGTTTTCATCGCAAATTGAAACTCAAAAAAAGTCTCGAGGTTAGATTAGGACGCTACAACAGCGTGTCGTCGGATTTTTGTATCACTTACCGAGATCCGGCGTTAGAGTATCCTGTTGGGACATTTGTTGATTCGTATGGTGTCCCGGCATACCGGAGGTGCTGCCTCCGTTATGCTGTCCCAAATGATGCCTTACGTCGCCGCCCACTGCGGAACTCGCCGCGGCTGCCGCCGCTTGAGATACCTGCGCAAAGATGTAAGAAAAAGTTGAAAGGTGGAAAAGAACTGAAAAGTTCTGTTTGAGCTGTCTTCACTTTTGCTTTTTTTTATCGAAATGTTTATGAATCTTAATTGAATAAAATGAAATCAATGTATACTTGAACATCTTGTGTTGACTTTTATAGGCACTACACTTTGTTGATTTACTTTCATTAAAGTCAGATTTTTATTATTTGTTTTTCTTTGCGAAAGAATATAACTTATGAGTTATTATTCTCTCAATCTTCATATCTTTATAACATTATGTTTTCAATATTCAAAATGCAAATTGTAAAGTCGTGCTTTTTTTTAACTTTGATTAATAGAAGAATTGGCTATCTTTTTTACCGCAAGTCGTAGGGCAGCTTCGGCTTGGGAACGGAGCAAAGCTTCCGCTTGATGCATTCTCAGAGCTTGCTCCGGTCCACTCGCTTGCACTCCCTGTTGTTGGGGTCCCGTCGATCCTTGAGTACCTCCGCTCATATCACCGTTATTGCCCATTCTCATAGCCGCCGCCAGCGATGCCATGTCGACCGGCGAGAGATTAGGCGATACGGAATTTTGCAATCCTAATAGAAATATCGCTTTTACATCTCGCTTACTATCGAAAGTAATTTAAAGCCTATAAATAATATACCATGCTTTTCTCCTTCTTAAATAACAATAGATTGCAAGATATATATTTAACAATCATCTCTTTTTGTAATGTTAAATTTAAAATAGTGTTTCATATGATGTGTTTCAGAATCTTGGCATCGCGATTGAATCACGATCTGTAGAACATGTGTCAAGGAGGGTTACTCGCAAACGCTGTCTCATGTCAACTTTAATCGTGGGAAGAAAGAGAAAGAGAGGAGAGGAATGAGAGAGATGGTAAGGAATTCTGATATTTGTTTTTCCTATCATCGTTTCTTCAGCAAGTTTCTCGATGAGTTACGACTCGTAGTTCGTGAAAGAAACTACGTGCGCGGTAAATTTTACTAAATTAACTTGCGGTAATATCACACATAGTATCATACATAATAATCGTGCAACGCGTTTTTGCAACGTAGAAATGTTTTTCCAGCAACAAATACAGTCATGTCGAACGTGCTTATAATTGCTCGCTCGAGTTCTCATCGAAGACATGAGAAAAGCGGACAACGCGAATGCAATGTTGTGGCGGAGAAACAACATTGTAAATCTAGTTTTATCGGTAATAATTGGAACAAAGCTATCGGCTTTCCCTTCTCGTGCAATTTCGTACTGATAAGTGAAAATGCACTTCTCAGAGATTCATACGCCTTATATATGTATACTTGTGTGTGTAATCAGTTCGCTAGATCATAACTCGTTAAACATGGTTTTATATTATATATATAATATATATAATATAATGACATATTTATTTATTCTCTCTTACCCGCTGACACGGCGGCCATGACAGCCATGCGTTGTTGCTGCGACTGCATCTCATCGTGATATTGCTGTGCCGAACCCGGTTGACTTCCCGTTCGGAGTATCTCGCTGAGCTTGTTGCCACTCGGTCCCGGTGACGCCATGTTATTGTTGTTATTATTGTTGTTGTTATTCAGTAGACCGGTGCCTGCGCAAAAATCTGCTCTCGTCAGTATGTACAGGTCGATGTACGGGCGGGGGTTTTCACGCACATTTTACTATTCTAACTAGGTAGCATATATCATTCCGCGTCGATATATAAATTGGCACGCTAAAGCGTTAAAAAGGCGACATCCCGAAGTGGAAACCGCCCATAAGAGCAGACCGTAGTGAGCGCCGTTCACATGAGAGAATTATTACTCAGACCAGAAATTCGTAAATATTTTATTTCGACTCAAGCATATATATTCATATATATTCTAACTTACGTGTACTACAATAAATTCACTAATGATACTTCACAACAGTTATGTCATTAACGAAATCAGAGAAAAAAAGATGAATAACGGCGAGATTACAAACTGTGCTCGGGCAAATGCGACAATATTATATCTATTATATCTAGATACTTGATAGACGTTCGAGTAGTAGACGTAGAACAAGTATCGTAGCGTACCAGGTTCACTACCGGCCGACGACAGTCTTCCATTGCCGCTACTGCTATCCGAATGGGCCGACGGTGACGGGCACATTGGTGGTTGTTGCAAATTTTGCGGTCCTCCAGATTGACTTCCTCCCAACACGCCTAAACCTGCTCCTGTACAGCGTAAGGACGTTATATTAGAATACCATTCAGTCATTGGCGTCGTGCAGTGTCGTACTTTCTATGCGACGGTTTTGACGCCACTTAATTCCTTGACAATTAGAGAAATATGTCTATCTGTTATACCTAAACTCGAACTCGCGAGAATCTCCCTTTCCCGCCTCTCAGCGGCCGCGCGGCTTAGCACATACTGCGCCGCGAATTGATGTTTCGGATCCATCCTCATGTGCTCCATGTGGCTCAGGAGACCTTAACACCAGAGGAAAACGAGCGTGGTCACAGTATAGAAAGATAATCATATAGTCGCGCGTATATGGACGATAACTGTCACTTGTTATAAACGTAAGTTATACTCCACAGAATGAAAATCATAAGTTTACAGCATAGAATGAAAATGAATTGTGTTTACTTTCAACTGTGTTTACTTCGAACTCCGAGCTATTGTTGGGACCCGATCGGCCCATCGATTCACGTTTACGTGGGCTAAATACTTACCGCTCTCATGAGTGAAGACGGCTTGGCACACCGAGCACGGCCACATCCTGAGGCTTGTGCTAAGTTGACTGGTCTCAGGATGGCAGGCTAGATGCTTCCTAAGGCTACCCTCGTTGACGTAGTGCTTCCCGCACACTGGGCACGGGTGGTTGGCGGTCCGTCGCTTCGCTAGGTAAACCCCGGCAACGGAGGTTGTGCAGTCAGCGGAGGGAACAATAGGGCGACACAATTTCAAGGTCAATGCCAAGCAGGATAAAGCGTCCCAAGGAACGAAAGCCGCCTCCTCCTCACTCAACTCCTCCACCATCGTTATGTTTTCTCATATCTCTCTCTCTCTCTCTCTCTCTCTCTTTCTCTCTCTCTCTCTCTCTTTCTCTCTTTTTTTCCTCCCCCACCTTATTTCTCACGCACTCGCGTGCACGCGCGCGCGTACGTACGCACAGATTCCGGTCGACCTCGAAGGCGAAGGGAGACCTTACGGACGCGGATAGCCAAGGACCAGGAGAGAGCACTGACCTCGGGCACGCAGAGTACTCGTCGGCCGGCGCCGTCGCCACCGCGCTGCTGACTCCCTTTCACGAGCAAGGTCGCTGGCCCAAAAAGCCAGGATGCACACAGACGTACTCGCGCGCGTTGCACATACGCAAACGTACAGAGAAAAAAATATATACATAAAATTCTTTGAAAAGGTCATTTATATATGAAAAACGTCCGTTATTTTTTACATCGAACAGACACTATAAACAGATCATCATTCGTCTTGTCAATCTTAGTCGATTTTTTAATCTCATTTAAATCCTTGCGATTTTAAACAACGATAACGTTACATGCTCCATGTGTATTCGCAATACAGTGCGATTCATCAGCTTTCACATTTCAAATGTCGATCACTGTGACAGACCACCGTGTCGGCACTCACAATCAAGAATAAAACGCCGATTCCTCGCTTTAAAGTTGAACGAAGAAGCAGAGTAGATTGACTTTTGTTCTCTCTGTACGTTCGCCAGTCTGCACACGTATCGCGCACGCATGTGTCAAGGCACGCATAGAGGTCGAACGAGACACCCTCGAAGCATCGTGTATCTGTATTAGCGAGTAGTACCCAAGTATTAGTCGGCGAGTGTGCCAAATGCTACACGTCTTTCCCGCCCAGGCGAAAACAGTACGAAGAAGTGAACAAGGACAATGTGTGCGTATCGCCCGCGCCAAAGCAAGTTTTTGGGATGGATGCGAAACGTACTTAAAAACTAAAGAATGAACCACCCTTCGTGTCTCGACGAGCGGTTGTTTCACCTCTCTCTTAGTCTTACTCATGATTAACGTCGCCGTTCTCGTGTCTATGTCAGTCTCTCTCTTTCTCTATCTTGGAACCCTTAAGGGGCTCTTCGCGATCGTAGTTAAGGATTTTGGCTAAGAATTAAATGCGGTTAGTCTGTTATGAACAGAGTTAAGTCTTTCGCTTAGAAAGTTAATGCGCGAGCAAAATTTGGCATTAAGTTTGTTGATTAGTCAGTAAGGAATGACACGATCAAGGTTTTTTTCTCAAGCTCGCTTCATGCAACGATGCACTCCGCTTACGAGATTCCGCGATCGGATTCCAGTTAATCGATTGGGTATGGTTAACGAAGATTAGTAGGTGCGCGAATGAAGAGAAATGGTAAGCAACGCACGGGGAAAGGAGAGAGACATAGACGACCGGCCGAGAGGGCGGTTGATACGCGATTTTTCAATACTTACTGGCAACTCCAGAGGCGTTTGGATCCTTGTGGGTATGCTTCATATGCTCCATCAACGCCTCACCGCCGAGGAAGAGTTTGTGGCATACTGGACAGCTGGTTGCGTTCGGACCGCCGATCAGGGCGGCGTGTTGCTGGAACACAACACGCTGTTGCAACTCCTTTTTTGAGGGCCCGGAAGTACCGGAAGCAGGCACACGCGGCGCACCGGTAGAGAGCCGACCCAGAGAATACCACCACAGAGTTGCGAACCAGAAGCGCAGGACAGGCAGGGCACAGAACAGAACGATTGACCAGTGAGAGTTAAGGCACCAATAAACCGCCGCCACCACAAACTACTCCTTTGCACAGGGAATTCATGTCGAGTGTGTCTGGTAGGAACTTTGTGGTATCGCGCCCTGGCTTGGTTTCCAGTCGGTCAAGTACGATTGAAAAGAATCGAGATAACGAAACAGAAAAAAAAGACGAAATTTTCTCTCTTTTGAGGTATATTGATATCTCCGTTTAATAATGATCCATTTACTGCCGCAATTTATTCATTGCTTATCAAACAAAAAACAATATTTTATATTTTATTTTCCTTCTGAAATATCTTTGTGTAGATTGCAAAATTAATTAAATGATTTCATTTTTAATATTGCTTTAAAAAAAATTATATCTGTTTGTATGTTTTTGGCAAATGGCTAGATTGCGGCAAGTGAATCGTCGGCGAAGATACTCTAAAAAGATAGCTAGTTCTTGGAACATTATGGGATAGGAATAAGGTGTAAATCTCGATGTTATTGGAATTACAATCGTAATCTCCAACGTATCGCTATTGCGAGGAATATACTGTGCCCATATATGTTTTTCTCAAATATGTATTACCGATTCTAATTTTGTAATCTCGAACAATTTGTGATATATGAATGTAAAAATAGAGATGTATAAGAAGAGTCTTGACCGATCAAAAACATTGTCTTTAACGCCAGATCAGAGCACTCGGTTCGAGTAGATGGAGAGGAACTTAGGGAGTACATGATCGTGGAACTTGAAGCGAAGCCTAGACAGACAAATATGTGGAAGCGTGGGGTCCAGAGAACGATCGGAGCGGATTAATCCTTAACCGCGATTAGGGATTTCATCGACTAATGCTGCCAGGCATCGGCCTCGTCTCGCATATGAATGTACGGAACCTAAAGGCCGATGCCAGACGTTGCGTTGCGAAAACAAAGCGAGCACTTTCATCGACCTTGGACCTCCGATCGACCCCGTGCGACCTCACCCATGAACGGGAATGCGAAGCATGGAATGACTAGCTTGTACCATACATCAGTTTTAACTACCATGGCCGTTGCTAGCACATCTTCGGCTTGCATCTGCATTCCTTTTGTTTTTTTTTCTTTTCTCTGCTTTGCATGTTAAACAAGTTCTAACCCGCGGTTTATTTTACCGAATTTGTTGTGCTACCAATGGCCATATTAAAATCAAGATTAAAAATGAAACTATAAATGAAATTCGACGTCCTCTCAGTGCCAGATAGAATGACTTTTTTCCCCCTTCATTCTTTGGCTGGTCACGCGGTAAGGAACTGATTCGCACCAATCGCATTATCGTGATGTCTTTTTTTGCCTCCTCTGTTGCGTCCCCCTTTTTTATTCATCTCTTTTCTTTTTTTCTCTTTTTCTATCTGAACACGCGAAGGTTGCTTGCACGCATACAAGGCGGTAGGTGTACACGCGCTCGAAGAAAAACATGGCGGCGGCCGTACCTTGTTCGAAAGAGCGTTTAAAACGGCAGTACGAGAGGAGAAAAAAAAAGGCGCGAAAAAAAGAGAAGGTTGTGAACGGGCAGGAACGGGCTAAAACGAGACCGGACGGCAATGACCCCAAAGAGTTTCGGGGCCTCTCGTTCCTCTCTTCCTTCCTGTTCTTGCTTCTCCGATTCGCGACTTCGTCTTCTTTTTTTCCTCATACTTTTTCGCCTCTCCCCTCCCACACATTTCGCTCTACCTCTTTCTCTGTCGATCGTTTTTCTTTTTATTCCCGGACCTGGGACAATCGCGAATGCATTGAGGCAACGAACACGAAGCGAGCAAAGGCTAAAAACAAGTTCTGAACGGCAATGACCTCGGAATTTTTTCGACATGGCCGTCTTTTTATCACACACCTTCTATCTCTCTTCTATTATTGTCATGATTTTCCGCTTTTCGCATCTTAAATGTGGATTTATTTTTGCGCACTTTATAGACTTCTTCTCTTCGTTTCGAGAGGGAGAGAATATATCTTCTTTATAAATACATACACGCTCATCTAAAGCCTCTTCGTACTTCCTCCTTTCCTCGACATTTTTAACGACGTGTCAGATGCCGGTGCACAATCCTGATTTTCTGCCGGCTCTTCCCGCTCATAAACAAGCGAGACGGCATGCCACAAAACTAGGAGAAGGGAGGAGGGGGGGTACCAATCAGATAATAATCGCCTTGTCGTATCCATTTCGGTTTCCTTCTTCCGGTTTTTCTCCCGGCTCCGTTTCGCGTATTCTAAACACGCATATTCTCACGCGTGTTTCTTCTCGCTTGGCTCGGCTCCATTCTTGTCCCGCGATAAACTTGAGAGTGGGTGGCCGACCGCCGGCATACTTATGCGCCTTCTATCTCCTTTTTTATCCCGAACCTGGGGCAGCCGCGAGTGCGTTGAGAAGACGGCAACGAGGACGGCGTCGTTGGCCATGCCACCGCCACCGCCACCGCCGCCGCCGTCGCCGCTGCATGTAAGTTATTCTTGGAGGGAAGCTGCGGTCCCTAGGTTCGACGCCCCGACCTGGCCCAACTGGAAAAAACCGGTTTCTTCGTCGCGCTCTTCCTTTTTTGCTTGCATCCTCGCTTTTTGCGCCGCGAGTGCCTCGACTTCTCTGACGCTCTTTCTCTTCTTCTCCATCCCGTTCGCCACGGTCGCTCCCCTTCTCTTTCTCTTTTCCTATCTTTCCCGCTCTCCTTTCTCTCTCTTCTTCACTCTTTTTTCTCTCTTGCTCTCTCCTCATTCCTCCAGCTTATTCTCTCCGACTCGACTAAGAGAGTGGACGCGGCGTGGGCGAATCCCCGAGGGACTTTATGATCTACCGTGACCAGATTCATCTCTCTCGCGAGGTTATACGTTCGCTCTTCTCTGTACGCCGTTCTCGCTATTCCCAATTCCATGCTTCCTGGTCTCAGTATGAGGTTGTACGTATATCTACCAGAGCCGCCGGTTTTCTGCATTGCACTAGGACTTTTTGCCTCAGCAGAAATACGGAGATTCTGCCGCAATCGATTCTACATGCATTCTTTTGTTTCTGTTTCAAAATATTTCGATTATATCGAAGATGAATATGGAAGAGAGAGTTCTTCAATTTGTGCTCATTTTCATCGCGGATTGAAAACATTCGTATGCATCGAAATTATTCGTAAATTTGCAAATAATTCTGTTTTCGTTGGCTAAATAAATTTCCAGCGGCGTTAATCAATATCAGAGATGATTGATAATTGTTGAATAATATGAGGGAATATAACGGCTGGCAAAGTGACGTCTATGTCTGGTATTTTTACCATTGCGCTGTAAATAATTATATCGGTACTCAATTTAGCCGCGAAATATTTGGTCTTTCGATTAAAAGGTGGTAATTATAAATTTTATCGGTTTCTTTGTTCATTGAGCACTGATCATATTATGACCGCTTGGCCGACGCGATTACGTTTATTCTTTCGAATTTTTTCGTATCCTATCTCCGATTGGTTTCTCGATTTTTCCCGGCGATCCCGGTCGTAGATTATCCGTTCCTCGAGGCCTGACGCGGGCCCGGGTCAGGGAGTGGCATAAAAAGGAAGTGGGTGTGAGCACACGCGTAGCGGTGCGTGACGTTGGCCGCGATGTGGCCATTTTGTGTTCATAGAGACGGGACCATCTTTGATCGAGGACCGAGATCTTGTTAGTAGAGCGATTCTATTAGAACAAATCAAGACGGAAAATTTTTTTATGCCTGTACTCAATCAATATGATATCATCCCTGATTTGCGATGTTTAAATGTATAAGATGTCTGATGGTAACTGTATAATACTTTAACAGCGGAGATCTCAAAAGAATAGAAAAATCTTATTATGAAAATTCAAGTTATAAATAATTATATTTGACAATAATATCGCGCAAAGTTTATGTGTTTAAGCTTACATTTACACGAATTATTGACTTATTAATTTTAATATAATACTTATTTTTATTGCTTAGTTTATTTTTTCTTTTAGCTTTTTATATGCAAATGTGCAATCAGTTGATAATATAAAATTAAACCCGTTTTAACAGTTGTATGCTATTTAAATTTTTCTTTTAATAAAAATTTGAAGAATTTATTAATTTTTTCGTTTGAAAACAGTTATTAAATTTAATGCTAAATCTGAATTAAAAAAATATAATTTATCTTTATTATGCGACCGAAAAAGGGAAACTTTAATTTTATATTGTTATTTTATTATTAAATTTTTAAGTTTATACGGTGTTGTTGATTTTAATAATTCAAGAAAAAATAAATCACTATCCTGCAGTAATTTTATTTTATTTTCTTAACATTTTATTTTGTTTTTATTTATTTATTTATTTTTTTAATTATGTCTTATGATTTATCAAAATCGCAGAATTTCAATAGCTCAGATTGTAAGTTTTGGGTAAAAAGAATACTAAATTAATTTTTATAAATTTTTTATAAATCTTTTCCGATTGAAAAATTTTGTTCTTTAAAATGTAAAATTTATAACGTATAATAATACAATATAATGATCTATTGTAATTAATTAGAAATTCTATTGAAAACTCTACCGAAATTAATTAAAAATGTGAGGAACAGAATATTCACGCAATTACATATAACATATTATGTTAAATATTTCAGTGATAACGGTATTTTTGACTCGATGCTAGTTTCGGTTGCGTATGATGCGTTGTTGTATAGTTTTGTCATTCGGTAGGCGGTCATGCGGGTATTCCGTGTCGTTACATTATTTTCTTAAGGCGCGAGAATGACAAATATTAGGAGGAAACGCGATCATTCCTCCCTTCCTTCTCATCAATATTTAACGATTATTAATTCGCGCAAACTGACTCTCATAATTAAAACGACTCGTAAGAAGTGACTATTTATCGAAACAGATAT